TACACTTCCCATTTCTATACCAGTAAGAATGTGAACACCTGTTACGATCCTACTCCTAATATATGTGTGTAGTGTAACAGTTTTAAAGACTGGAGTATTGTGGTCTCCAGTTAGAACCTTCCTGACTGTTTGACATAAGGACTGTTCTATTGTTCTAGGTCCAGATTGTAGTCACGAAAGTAGATCTAAGCTAGCGTAGCTGCAGATACCCGATTGTCCGGATCTGGACTGGAAGATTCGGCCTGCCCTGATGTGTGTTTCCGAAGGCTTAGTCAGACAGCTGACAAATTAAACCTAAGCTAACAGCTAAGTGGGGACAGTTGACCACTTAGCCTTATATACCGGATAATTTTATCCACAGCCTTTTATTTAATATTCATTTGAATTTTCAAAATAATGTAGTTTTAATGTTCTTACAGTTTTCTGAAGTTTCATTTTAACTATAATTGTGTCAGTGAACAAAAGCTAGTATAACTTTAATACACTTAAATATTCAAATTTAATAACAGTAGGGAATAGATGTGGGCAAACCCCGAATCCTCTCATTTAACCAGCAAGGCTGGGGTTACTATAAGACTATATGATGACTCACTGTTTGTAATTCCCTCTGTAAAGTGCACATAGTGCATTCGCTAGTTAAAGCGAAGTTACCCGCCACAACACCCACAGCGGTAAAAGAGGAATTGAAGAAGAAGAAGAGGAAGTGAAGAAGAAGAAGAAGAAGAAGAAGAAGCCTGTATGTATAAAGAACATCAAAGCTTCAAAGTTATAGCCTGCCCTTGAGGAGAAGGACATTCTGCAAAAGACCTGCTAAATAACGATGCTCATTTGTGGTGAACCTTTAAACTACTAGAAATAATTAATACCGTAGCATTACCTTTAGCTTCAAACACTTTGACCGCTTTGCACCGCTCCATGATTCCTGAGACGCCATAGTCCGTTATCTTGAGCACAAACCGACTGTCGATGACACAACACTTGGAGGTCATATGCCCATGGTATCTCAGTGCAGAGGAGTGCAAGTATCGGATACCCTGGGAAGTATGCAATACAACAGTCAAGTAAGTAAAATATTCTTCTCTACGTCTTCAGGTGTACTGGGTATATAGGGCTAGGCCTGTATTTTACTGAAAAATGGGCACCTGGCGGGTGATGTGGTCAGCATCACACAGGCCGCCTTTACTTCCCATGAATGTTTCTGGTATCCATTCAAGGCTGGGTCGACCTGGGAGCCAGGATCGTACCAAAAAAAAAGTCCGGCTCCATTAGGACCCGAACCAAGGATTTTCTCATCCGCAGGCGAGAGCCTAGCACCTACACCACAGCATCCCTCCTGTAACCGTATAGGAGTTAATGTATCATCCTCTCTCTCTCTCTCGCTCTCTCTCTCTCTCTCTCTCTCTCTCTCTCTCTCTCTTTCTTTCTCGCTCTCTCTTGTTGTACCCCACCAGGGCATCACACAAGTTATAAACACCCGGTGACACAAAGTGCCACCAGACGGATGAGGATCACCCGTGGAAAGGTCCCAGAAACCCCTTTCAGCCGTTAGGCCATAATAATGGCCCGACTTTATTTAGGGCTCAAGGCAAAAACCAGGGTGGGGCTTCAAATAACGAAAAATTACATCCCACATTGGAGCGACTGATATATAACAATGTGACATTTTAAGATAAACTCTTAATGTAACATTTTAAGATAAACTTTTAATGTAGCATTTTAAGATAAACTCTTAACGTAACATTTTTTAAAAAAAAAACTCCTAATGTAACATTTTAAGATAAACTTTTAATGTAACATTTTAAGGTAAACTTTTAATGTAACATTTTAAGGGAAACTATTAATGTAACATTTTAAGATAAACTCCTAATGTAACATTTTAAGATAAACTCGTAATGTAACATTTTAAGATAAACTCCTAATGTAACATTTTAAGATAGAACGATTTTATCCTAGGAAGAGGTAATGCAGCCTGATAACGTTATGTTATGACACGGTAAAACATGCCCTTAGACTTAGCTGGCAGCTGGTCTAGGAGCGACATAGAGATGATTTTAACGTAGAAATGGTATCATTGTAATTCTTTCTTTCTCTTTCTTCTCTCCACTCCTGGAATGCCTCGCGGCGTCAGGGCAAGAAGAGATCTCTGGGACAGGCCCTTCTGTTTGCTTCGTATAAAGTACTTTTCAGTGTCTCTTAAATTTATGCGGTCCATGTTCTATGTGGTCGATCTCTGGATATGTTACCCCCGTATCTGTATAGCATTGTTATCTATTGAGCTCAGTCTGATGCCAATCTTGTTACATGGCTAAACCATTTGATTTGTTGTCTATCTGTATAGTTCAGTATTGCTTCTGCGCTGACTCTCCTCTCGATATCATCGTTTCTTAGTCGATCTTTCCTCGTTACACCTAACATAGTACGTTAACATTTAATTTCTGTCGTGACAATTTTCCTTCTGTCTTTTGAAGACAGTGTCCGTGTTTGACATTGATAGCACAGTGTTGGTAAGAATATTGTTCTTTTGAGGTTCATATTCACATGCGTGCATTTCAAAATTTGTGCCATTTGGCCTAAAACTTGTTTGGCTTTATTGCATCTTTGTTGGTTTTATTAATTCTTCTGTCTTCTGAAAAAAAATGCTACCCAAATATGTAAAATCATTCGCCTGCTTTAACTGCTGTTCATCAATTTTGATATTGACTTCAGTTTTGTCTACGTTGATCATAACTTTTATGATATTCGTGTATTTGTTCTAACTGCGCATTGTCTGATCACGTATAAACTCTTGCACAATTTTATAAGATGTTCGTTTACTTTGTAATCTTCTAGTATCTTCAATAATTTATTTCTATTAACTCGATTGAAAGCTTTCTCTTGGTCTACGTATGCATCATTTAATCCTTTATCAAAGTCTACCGTCTTTTCCACTAATTGTCTAAGTGTGAATATTGCATCAGTACAACTTCTGTTATCCAGATATCCCATTTGTCCTTCACTAAGTTGCCTTTCGATGATATAAAGCAACCTTTCTTTTTTCCAAGGATCTTGCAAACAATTTTTTCCCGGCGTGGCTCAATAAAGAAACTCCGCAATACTTCTCACAGACTCTCTTGCCGCATTTCTTCTTCCAGATAGGTACTATTGCTGCGTTTCTCTAGTCCTCCGGTGCCTCTTGTGTTGTCCAAATTATGTTGAACAGTTTGTGCATCGTTTTTACACTGACCTCTTCTGTTGATTTGAGTAGTTCAGCCGGCATATCCTCAGGGCCTGGTGCTTTGTTAGAAGGTGCCTCTTATACAGCTTTTCTTATTTCTACGAGTGTCGTGCTTGGTTCTGAATTTTCTTTGTTTTCTTGTTTTGTTTATTGTTCCTCTGATTTCAAGTTAATTAGGTCGTTAAAAATGTTGACGCTATCTCTCTAGTATCTTTTGTGGTTCGTTCACTGGGAAACCCGTTTTGTTTATAATTTATGTCGGGTCATACTGGTCGTTCCTAACCCTCATTACTTTAATTTTCTTATAAAAGTTTTTCGTAGCACTTTGGTGGACTTCGTTCAACATTTCGCTGTATTTCTGCCAGGATGTTTCTCTGGCATTTCTGACATCTCTGGCTATCGTTCTTATCGCTTTGTATTTTTCAAGAAAATCTTGATTTCTATTTTTTGCCCACTCCTGGTGTCTGTATTTTTTTTTGTTTTTCACTGCTGTTTTTACTTATTCGTTTTGCGGTTGGTGTTTTTAATGGTTATGTGCTTCTCTTCTTTACTATCCACATGTTTCTCTTGTTGCTTCTAAAACTGAACTTTTAAAAATGTCCCATTCCTCATCTAATGATTTTGTTTCTTCAGCTAGCCTGGTATAAACTTCAGTAATTTGTTTTTTCAGGTACGCTTCTTATGTGATAGCATTCTTTAACTTAAATGTGTATGTTTTGTGTGTGTGTGTGATTGAACGCGGTCCTTTAGTATTATTCCCACTGTTCATCCTCATAGTCAACATGACCGCCGTGCATTCAGTGTCCGCATATAGATTTTTGATTGCTCTTGCGTCTAGAACCGTTCTTCTCATGTTTCGTTTGGTTAGTGTATAGTCTATTTGACTTTTACAGTTCGGATCGCTCCATTTATACCACGTATGTATGTGAGACTGCCGGTGTTGAAAATGTTTTAGCTATGAATAATTCCTGGTGATAACACAGCTAAAGCAGCCTGCAGCGATTTTCGTTTTTCTGACTGTCATTATCTCCGAATTTTCCAATGTATTCTTCTGCGCCTTTCCAGTGTTCTATTCTTGCATTAAAATCACCTATAATGATAAACTTTTCTTCTTTCTTTCTTTTGTGTGTGAGTTTTTTTTTTTTTTTTTTTTTATCTAGTGGGTCTAAAAATGCTTCGCTTTTTAAAACACTATTAGTTGTGTTACACGGAGCATACATTTAAACATACGTTTTATTTACTCCTTTTGTCACTAATAGTAATTAGTGGGATTCTTTCTGAGATGTAATCTGTGTTTAAAATCTCTTAGCTAACATGGGGGTCTAGTATAAATCCAGCTCCGTATTTTGCCCTTTTTGTTCACTTCTACTAATGAATAAACGAACACAATGTCTAGATGCACTTTCTTACAATCTTTTCCTTTAGTTCTTGTGTCTGCTAGTCCTAACATTGCTATTTGGCGTCATACTTACCCGGACTAAATCTGTTAACAAAGAACATTTGAAGTCCCAGTCCAGCTTGAAATCTTCATTGTGGATGATGTCGTAAAGACTCCCTCGACTGCAATACTCCATGACAATGGATGGCCGGCTTGGGTCGGCCAGAAATCCGACATAGGGGTTCAAATTTTCGTGACGTAAGTCTCGACACTGAGGAGGGGACATACAATGTTATCAATAAATACACATCTGTTGTTTTACACTGAAATAAGAGAAGTTGCACTAACAAATTTTAGAGAATATAACTGTCCTTGGCAGACACTCTTGCTTTGAATACACCATAAATTGTATCTCTTGTTGCTGTTGTTGCTGCTGCTGCTCTGCTTCCTCTTCTTCTTTCTTTTCCTTCTTCCTCTGTCTCCGTCTTCTACTCCCGTATCCTTTTCTTCTTCTTCCTTCTCCTCCTTCTTCCTTCTCCTCCTTCTTCTTCTCTTCCTTTTTCTCGTCTCCTCCTGGTCCTCCTTCTCATTCTCCTCCTTCTTCTCACTGTCTCATCCTTTTTTACTTCTTCTTTCCCTTCATTTTCTTCTCCTTCTTTTTCTTCTCCTTCTCCTCCTCCTTCTTCTTCTTCTTCTTCTTCTTCTTCTTCTTCTTCTTCTTCTTCTTCTTCTTCTTCTTCTTCTTCTTCTTCTTCTTCTTCTTCTTCTTCTTCTTCTTCTTCTTCTTCTTCTTCTTCTTCTTCTTCTTCTTCTTCTACTACTACTTCTTCTTCTTCTTCTGCTGCTGCTGCTTCGTTCTTTCTTTCTATTTCTTCTATTTCTTCTTCTTCTTATTCTTTTTCTTCTGCGTTTGCGTCTTCTCCTTTTTCCCCTTTAAATGCTGCAAAATCCTATCGTTCATTCTTACAGTTTGCTTTTAATAGAAGCAGTAAGTGTAACCCCCCCCCCCCTCCCTTCCCCCCAACCCCCTGCCCCTCAAGGGTCTAGGAACTTATTAGGTACCAAAGCAATCAGTTTTCTCCGGATGAAAATAAGCATCTAGCTCTTTATCTAAACTTACCAGTCGTAAGCATTTACTTACATACCAAAACGTACCAACCACATAAATTAGGTAACGTTTTACTTACTTGAACTTACCAATCGTATGAAAGCAAGGAACACTCTACTTACCTAAACTTACCAATTGTATCGAAGTAAAAAATATTATACTCACCTAAACGTACCAATGGTATGAAAGTAATAAACATTCTACTTATCTAAACTTACCAGTCGTATAAATGTAAGCAGCTTGCTCCTCATCTCAAATCCCTTAATGTTCAACTCTTTCACGTGAACTAGATCCCCCTAGAGAAGAAATAACCAGTCAATGCTGAGAATATAAACAATAACAATATACGTCTTTGGCAGACAGTGAAGATTTACACTTGGATGTCCGGGTTTAGGTTCCAGAAAATCAGATCCTAACGTTATGTCTCTGGGGTTGATCCCACATCATAAAATGTGTAACAAGGATTTCTTTCTGAAATTAGACTCGTCTGGTATGATACTGGCTGTCCGATGCAATGATTCTCAAGAATGTATATGGTGGCCACTGTCCTCTTGATATCTTCTTTCTTTTCTCTTTTCTTGTGACATTGTTCTGCATTTCAGTGTCAGGTTTGGGTGAGGCGTCTGATTCGAGCCTTGGTGTTTGCTACGTAGATGCTGGCATTCACGACCACAAACATCGCATTCAACCATTACTTGGGTGAACGACCTCTAGCTCTGCTCATTCAGTTGTGTTCAAGTGACTGAGATTTCCTTTTTTAAAACTATTCTTTGGCAGTCTTTGTACATGTCACTGTGGCCTGCTCTCATTTTCATAGACTCTTCTGGGCATGTGTTGGACGTGTGAGTCACCTCCGGATTCACAAACATTCAGCTACAGACTGATGAAGGAAAGAGGGGTCCTCATCACTTGTGATGGATGGATGAACGAACGAACAAACGAACACGTCACAACGTCTTGAGTTGGTTTTGATAGTGATACCGACAGCTGACCGTGCAGAAAATAATGACAAACCATTTGAAATTTATATAGAAAACCACAGCAGCCACACAATACTGAGGTTGATTCTGCAATGTCATGTAAAAGATACGCAACCAACTAATCGTGTACATGTCTGAACTATTTAATGTATCGTCTCTTGGTGTTGTTCAAAACTGATGTCGCCATTTCTGATCATGTCTCTTCTTGTTACATTTATGACTCTTCGTAGACATATCTTTTCTAGGTAAAACTAACGCTGGTCTCCCCAAGGACCGCCCATATACACACTAGCTAACTTCTGATTGGTAGATCTTGAGCCATGTAACCTTGGCACAAGGTTACCGTTTGTTCCGCAATGCAGTTCTTATCGCGTGTTGCATATTTTAGCATGCCAGCGCTTTTACCACTCCAAAAACATGAACAAACTGGGTCTAACACAACCCCGATAGAGAGTGCTGCAATCTATGTCACAGGCATTCTCTTTCTCTGAATAAAGACGTAAATGCAAGACAACCCAAAAATGAAACAACAGAGCGGCACACTTGTAACCTGCAGGAAAGTAGACTAGCCCAACAAGCTTATGAATGAAACTTGACCTACTTTGTTTGGGGAGACTAACTTGAACCTAACCTATTTCTATTGCTTCAAATTGTCTTTATGTCTGCTTGATATCTAGGACCAAAAAGTAGCACCCATTTATACAAACGTAACAGGTTCTTTTTCCACATCTTCATGCATATTTGGCATATGGTGGTAGACCGATATGTTATAGATCACTCGGTTGATCAAACTGTCACCATCGCGCTAGCCGCCGTTACTTACGACTTCATCTGGTACCCATTTAATGCTGGGTCGATCTGGAAACTTTGGTTATATTTGAAGAAGAAAAAAGTCCGACCCCTTTCGAATTTGAACTCACGACTTTTGGACCCGCAAGCGAGCGTTTAGCCGCTACATCATGGTGGCTCCCAGTTACTCATATAACCTAATATAAAACACATGTCTTGAGTGCTGCATAGAACGGGTACATCTGCGTGGTGCCGAAAAGTTCCAACATCCCTTGAGAAGGGGGGCGGGGCAGGGCAGGGAGGGGGAGGGGAAGACTTATTAATTATTCATCTAGGCTCTGAGTTCGTTCGTCTCAAAATCAGTGGCCGGAAATTGCCTGGAAACCATAGGCGGTCACTTATCAAACATCAAGTTCAGGCTGGTCACAATTATGGGGTTAATTACCTAGGATTCGTTTATTAACTTTGGTGTGAATCAGGGACAATGAGTAAACTAATTCCTTGAAGCCTCAGTGATGTGGTTCTACAGATGATCGTTAAAAATTCATTGGAAAGTAAACAATCTAAGACTTCTCCCTGACGAGAGAGGAAAAACGGTGTTATTTCCCACTTCTAGGATTACTAGTCTTACTCACAAAAAAAAAAAAAAAAAGATAAGTCAAAGAAATTATCATTTCCATTATTGCAAAAAAAAAATTCGCCGTGGTGGATCGGAAAATCGTGGGTTCGCTCCCTGGAGTAGCCGGACTTTTTTTCAAAAATTACCTCGGCTTCCTGGTCTACCCAGTCTTGAGTAGGTACTGGCTGCGGTCCCGGGAAGTAAAGGCGGCTGGCATAATGCTGACCACATAACCCATCTTGTGCTTATTGATTTAAAAATATAGGTCTAGCCCTATATGCCCTATATGCCCTATACGCCTAAAGGCGTGGAAAAAGATCCTTTACTTTACTTTAATATTGTAATAAGAAAGCCGCTGTGGTGTAGCGACTAGATACTCGCCTTCCAATGTGATGCTGACCATATTACCTAGAAAGTGACAATTGGTTTATAAAATATAAGTCTAGCCCTATATGCCCAATACGCCTGGAATGTGGAAAGAGGTGCTTTACATTTTTGGTTTTAATAGAGAGCAATTTAGTCAGGTAGACAAACCCGAGGAAATCATGGCTTGAATTATTACGGGTGTGATAAGTTGGAGATGGACATTTTTGAATTGCACCAATAAATGAAAAACACGGGAAAAAAAGAAATTGTATCACTATTCTACAAAGAGAAGGCGAAGTCGGAGAAAGCAAAATGTGCATTATTCTAAACTATGAGAAATATTCGAATATCTAATCTTTTTACTTATCGAAGAAATACAGACAGCTGATGCCAATACTGATGAAACTGTTCCGTTAGAGAGAGAGAGAGAGAGAGAGAGAGAGAGAGAGAGAGAGAGAGAGAGAGAGAGAGAGAGAGAGAAATAAGCAACAAAAAGATAGAGAGAGAGGATAAAGAGTGATCTTAATAGTTAACAGAGAAACAGAGAGATAAAGAGAAAAACAGTAAGTAAATGATAAACAGAAAAAAAAGAGATAATAAATGAACGAACTTAGTTTTAAAAGGGTCACAAATTGGGCTCGCAGGCCCGTCTTAAATAAGAGAGAGAGAAAGAGAGAGAAAGAGAGAGAGAGAGAGAGAGAGAGAGAGAGAGAGAGAGAGAGAGAGAGAGAGATAGAGAGAGAGAGAGAAGTTATAAAAGTTATCATTTCCACTTTTGTGTGGGTTATACGAAGAAGGTCGGCGTCTGTGTGGCTTAGGCATAGCAAGCTCGCATTATATAAGGTGTCGCGTTCGATCCCAGTTGCGTGCAATTTGCCAACAGACCGTGTTGCTTTCGACAGTATATATAGAGAGGAGACCGTTAAGTGGCAATGGCAAACAACTGAAAGTAAAATTGTCTAGTGAAATCACAAACACCCAACAAATACTGGGGTTGGCCATACAACGTTCTGTGAGGGGGCGATACAATTTTTAAAAAAACACACACATATGAATTCCCCTATCCACACATTTCTGAAAAACGAAACAACAAATCGAACACGTTCAAACTGCTGCGAGCAGTTTCGGTTATAAATGTGGTCTTTTTTTGTGTGTGTCAAGATAGTTGGCTAAGAATAGTAATTGCACCAAAACGAGCGGTTTGGACTGGTACTTAAGTAACTGTTGAGGGATGTTAGTGAGAAAAAATAAGCGGGGGGGGGGGGAGAGTACAAGTGGCCCGCCCCCATCCCCAGATTCCGTCTCCCCTGATTGCTTTAGCTGTTACATTTAAGGTCTTAGATACATCTCCCATCTGATATTTCTGGTTGCATGGTCTCGATGTATGATGTCGCCTCGGGTGCTAGAGGTCCCTGGTTCAAGCACCAGTACAGGCTATGATTGTTTCTGTTTACGTTGACTTATAGTAATTTCCCTTGGTCTTTGGGTAGTGATATCGGACGCCCATGTGTATTGTTGCACACGTAAAAAATCGCTTGGCAGATTGGACATCGAAAAGACTAGCCTAACGGCGCTGCCCGGGGAAAATTTGGAGTGCAAATCTACCAAAATATTTCAGGATTCTCGCCGGTGCTATGGAGCCCATGCACTGCGCAGAGGCACTTCGGACTCACACTTGTGTTAGAAGTAGAACAAAAAACATATGGGTCACTACTCGTGTCCTATGATGTTAATCCGTTTTTCAAACTTCAAACTTCAAACTTGAATACATAAGTATTGGTATTTAAAAGTTTCAGTTTCTTTCAATGATGTTTTTATTTAGCTTAATTACGAACATCGAGGAAAATTCAACATTCACCAAAGGCGAGAAGATTGTCAGACCATTGCAATAGCAGGAGAAATATGTGGTACTGATTAGCGTTCACATAAATAAAAGGAAATAAATGAAGATTAGAAGACACATTAGAGAAGAGGGAAAAATTAGAAAGCTGTGGTATGCACGTCGGAAATAGGAATCCTTCTGCATAGTTTCTGTCTAACAGTGGAAACTGGGGTTCTTCGACGTTCGGCTACTACTACATATAGTATCGCCTTTATGTTCATATAAATAGAGTTCAGTAGCACTGGAGTTCTGAGACTTGTGGTCACCAGCCCTGCCCTCGCCACCTCATCAACAATCTTCCATTAGCACTAGAGTTAAGTAGCACATGAGGGCTGGTAATCTTTGGAGCCTAGAAGTAGCAGATGGGAGATGTATCTAAGACGTTAAATGTAACAGCTAAAGCAATCAGGGAAGCTAAAATCTGGGGATGGGGGCGAACAACTTGTACTCCCCCTACCCCCACCCTTTTTTTAGTTAAAGCTAAAGTTGGCCTGATTCTAGGATGCTTTAAATGATTTCATGTTTCAAGGAAGTTGGCGGTGCAGAAAAAGTTGAGTCTGCATTTTTCTCTTTAAAATCAGATGCTGTAAGAGAAAAAGTTTACACGATTCTTTGAAGTTTCAGTCGTTGAGGGGAACAAATTGTTTGTAGTATTATACAAATGATGAAAAGTCGGAGAAGGTTGAGATTCCATTATTACTTAGAGATAACAACAGTACAGGAATGTGGCAATTTTTTTTTTTTTTTTTGTGTATTAGTTTAGGAAGCTGGAGACATTGAAGAATGCAATAATTGCAATGACCAAGAAATTAAAAGAAAGAGGACACAAACACACACAGATACATAGAAAAAGAAAGACTGAACACACACACACACACAGAGGGAGAGTGAGAGAGAGAGTGAGAGAGAGAGGGGGAGAGAGAGGGGGAGAGAGAGAGGGGAGAGAGAGTGAGAGAGAGAAAGAGAGAGAGGGAGAGAGAGAGAGAGAGAGAGAGAGAGAGAGAGAGAGGGTGAGAGGGATGGAGACAGTAACAGGTCAGAAAAGATAACTTGAAAAGAACAGAAATGATGAAAATATCAACTGTCATAACTGCCAATCATTGCCTTTATTATACCACTATTGCAGTGTTGGCAGGGGATCTTTGAGCCTGAGGATTTACAGCCGCATGGCTAGTGCTGTCGCCACGTCTGTGCAGGTGAGGAAAATATCAACGATCACAAGTGAAAGAACCCAGTACACACAAACATGCTCTTACATTGTATCTAGCCGTCTCTGTGTAATCACTCAACTCGTTGATACTGGCCATAGACCGGTTTGGGTCAGAACCACGGATAAGATCAGGGGCGTTGTCCTTGTCTAAGAGGGTTACTCTGGATTTCATGATCTGCTTGTGAGAGAGAGAGAGAGAGAGAGCAATAAACATCGAAACAAGTTAACGATAATATTACCAATAAACAACATACGAGTATAATGTCATCTAATGCAAGGAAACCCACACAGCTATTAGGCACGGATCTCTGGAATTCACCAGACTAGCTCTTAATACGAGCTCGAAAAACCAAGTTTCACGTTTTATTGATTGCTTGATTGAATTCAAGAATCATCTTCAGGGAACTGTGAAACTTTCCATTAGTTCTGGAGTCTTCTCCGTCAGGTCACACGCAGCGGGTCTCCGTTCAGATGGTGGGAATTCCATTGTGAGCGTAATTGTTTGCTGGTAAGGATTACCATGAGAGTCTTGTTGGATATGTGGCTACAAGCTTGTCTACCGTGCCGGTAGCCTTGAGTTTGAATCTCCATCGGTGCAACAGGGTACTACAGGGTGATAGAAAAGGAACTTCCTATTTTAAAATGCATTTCAATAATGTATTTTCCACGTGTGGGTTCAGCGGCCCTATTATAGGGAAAACAAGAATAGACCCGCTGCCTACCCAAAAGCATTTCGTGAGCCGACTAATTGGGACCTTGTTTAAAATCGGAGTGCATCTGCTTGAGAGGCAAGGAAAGCGGCCTGCATACAAATAAGTCAGATCTGTAAAACGGATGCACACGCAACACTCATGTCCTGGAACAGGACTGCAGTCCAGAAATGGATGAACAACCAGAACTTTCCGCAAGAGTTTTTAACTGGTGAACACGAAGAAGAAGATTATGTATTTATGGTAACTCTGGTTGAAATTTGTATGTGTTTGATACATAATATATGAAATTGTAATCTGTAAATATAATATGACTTTATCTGCATTTTATACTAATCCAAAGACTTTTGGAAGAGCTGGAAGGGCTAATACAAGAAGTTAGGTCTTTCATTCCACAAGAGTTCTCCGTGAAATCAGTTGTCCCGATTCATGGGAGGCTTGTGAGGCTGGTAGCAAAATCTAGCGCTCATATCGCATTTTTTTTAATAGAAGCATACTATAATTAAAAGCATTCTTGTCGTAGCAAATCAGATCTTATTAATAGTTTCCAAATTTTCAATACAGGGCAGCACTTCACTAATGAGCGGAAGATCGTAACAACAGAGATGAGATCTCTAAGGACAAGACAAGATGACGGTGTGAAAAGAAAAGAAAAAATCAAGAATGAAGCAATTAGAAGAAGACTAGGACTGAAACCAGTCACACAATTTATTAAAGAACATCAAATGAGATGGTTTGGCCAACTGACGAGAATGCCCTGGTACCAGCTGCCACAGAGAGCCACGCTAAGGAAATTAGTTAGTTAGTTAGTTTGTTAGTTGGGTTATCATCATTGCACTCCAGACATGTCCATAGGTGCTCAGGTCCTCCCCTCAGTATAATCCCCAACGTCTGATGGCTAATAGTACCAGTTCTATGTTGATTAACAAGTCTTCTGGCGTGTCTGGTGTGCGTCTCGTTTTTTGCTGTGCCGATCTTAATTTCCAAGTCTGCCATTCTGGCGAGTGATGTGGATTCACTGCCATCAAAGTCCTCTATTCTTCCCATTTCTCTGAGGGCATTGATAATATCAGCATGATCCATAGGCTGACCGTCGGTAGTGATAGCGCTAAGGAAAGATCAAAGGAAAGACCACACAAACCTAACAGAAATGAACACCAACATGAACAATGCATTGGAAAAGGCGCACAAACGATCCTTATACCCCTCTCCCCTCCTTCCCCCTTCCCCCCCCCCCTTTTTTTTTTGCACCCTAACCACAACAACTCTCAGAAGGGGAAGAGAAGAAGAAGAATTCTTCAAAGATGTTTCTTATTTATTGTGTGCTGTACGTTTTAAACACTTTTTACCACACACAACAAAAAAGAAGTCCACAGATTACTTCTATTTCACTTCTACTAGACTGGTCAGCACTCCACTTTTCAATTTCTGCTTGAATTGTCGTCCAGACTCCAACTGTACTTTTTCCGTCTCCTAACTCTCAAGCAACAGTTTTCATTGTTAACCCAGAGTGCAGTCGCTTTACAGCTTTTAGTTTCTCCTTCTTAGTACCTACAACCTCTTTTCGTTTATAACCCATTTGGTAATCTTCAATTTAACAAAACAACGAAGGAAACCCAACAACAATGAGATACGGGAACCACAGCAAAAATAGTCCGCACTGTTGACATTCTATAGACAACTGTCGAAGTCAAGATAGTTAGTTAGTCAGCTAGTTAGTCAGTTAGTCAGTCAGTCAGTCAGTCAGTCAGTCAGGCAATTATTTAGTTAGTTAGTAGGTTAGTTAGTCAGTTAGTCAGTCAGTCAGTCAGTCAGTCAGTCAGTCAGTCAGTCAGTTAGTTAGTTAGTTAGTTAGTTAGTTAGTTAGTTAGTTAGTTAGTTAGTTAGTTAGTTAGTTAGTTAGTTAGTTAGTTAGTTAGTTAGTTAGTCAGTTAGTCAGTCAGTCAGTCAGTCAGTCAGTCAGTCAGTTAGTTAGTTTGCTAGCAGGGTAGGTGAAAGGGGGTGGGGTGGTGAAGATCATGCCATTGATGTCTAAACCTGGGTTATGCACAGTCAGGATAATCGCGATCTATCATATGGGTATATATAATTATATCAGCCCGGCTCTCTAGCGCAGTTGGCTAAACCGGATTGCGCGGTGACCGGGTGACGAACTCCTTGTGGTCCGGGTTAACTCCCGGGGGTAGGCAGAAAAGCAACATTTCTCCCAGATTTACGGTATTTATCATGGAATCAAGACCGAAAGGTTATGATATCCATAACACTGAGCCTAAGGGTTAACAACTCATGGCTTCTAGATACTAAAACAAGCACACAATATAAATATATGTATGTGTGTGTGTGTGTGCGTATGTGTGCGTGACCGCGTTCGCGTGTTGGCGTGTGTGTGTGTGTAGAAAGACTGACCGAGGGATAACAACCCTTTTTATATATACTTTCAGACTTCACACATGAATTTTTAAAATTTCTTCTCTTTTCCATTTTTTTTTTTTCAGGAATATTTCGAGGTAAAGGTATAATCTCTTTCACGGCTCTGGAAGCAGTAACGGGCGAATTGCTCATAACGCGGAAAACAGGTTTTAATAGGGAAAAATTCAGCTGGGAAATCCCGAGCCTACATGAAGAAATGTGACAGCTTTACGATCTTTCATGGCTGTAATTCATATGCCGCATACGTTTTGAGTGAGCGCAAAAAGGATTGTCACAGGTTTAGAGAACAATGACGACAAAATGAGATTCTGAGGTTCATACAACGCATCTACTGAGGCATGTGTCGAGGTGGGGATGAGGCGTATGATGTGGTGAACAAAGAATGTTTAGGATCAATAGAGTACTTCAGTCATCCTTTTGTTTAGTAAACGACTTAACACATGGGTTCTTGATTCCATGCTGGGTTTGAAAGCTATCTGATCGTCTGTTTTAATACCAGTTAGCTTATCTGTCTGGTTGTCAGACTACCTGTCTACCTGTCTATCTCTCTTTCTTAGATATATATTATCTATCTATCAATGTGTAAACACATGTCAACACTTTTTTCCTCTAAAGTGCATAAATAGCTGTACTGTCGCAATGACCATATAACTAGCTGAATATGAATGTATGTATAAAATCTGTCTATCTAATCAATCTATCTAATCAATCAATCAATCAATCAATCAATCAATCAATCTATCAATCTATCAATCTATCACTCTATCACTCTATCACTCTATCACTCTATCTCTCTATCTCTCTATATCTCTATCTCTCTCTCTCTCTCTCTCTCACTCACTCACTCACTCACTCACTCACTCACTCACTCACTCACTCACTCACTCACTCACTCACTCACTCACTCACTCACTCACTCACTCACTCACTCACTCACTCACTCACTCACTCACTCACTCACTCACTCACTCACTCACTCACTCACTCACTCACTCACTCACTCACTCACTCACTCACTCACTCACTCACTCACTCACTCACTCACTCACTCACTCACTCACTCACTCACTCACTCACTCACTCACTCACTCACTCACTCACTCACTCACTCACTCACTCACTCACTCACTCACTCACTCACTCACTCACTCACTCACTCACTCACTCACTCACTCACTCACTCACTCACTCACTCACTCACTCACTCACTCACTCACTCACTCACTCACTCACTCACTCACTCACTCACTCACTCACTCACTCACTCACTCACTCACTCACTCACTCACTCACTCACTCACTCACTCACTCACTCACTCACTCACTCACTCACTCACTCACTCACTCACTCACTCACTCACTCACTCTCACTCACTCACTCACTCACTCACTCACTCACTCACTCACTCACTCACTCACTCACTCACTCACTCACTCACTCACTCACTCACTCACTCACTCACTCACTCACTCACTCACTCACTCACTCACTCACTCACTCACTCTGTCTGTCTGTCTGTCTGTCTGTCTGTCTGTCTGTCTGTCTGTCTGTCTGTCTGTCTGTCTGTCTGTCTGTCTGTCTGTCTGTCTGTCTGTCTGTCTGTCTGTCTGTCTGTCTGTCTGTCTGTCTGTCTGTCTGTCTGTCTGTCTGTCTGTCTGTAGGCAGTACACCTGAAGATGATGACGATGGCTGTAAATGGAGTAGAATGAAAGTAAGACATCTGAAAACAGATGGGTTAAATAGTCAGAATGGTATGTGACAGAGGTTGGGATATATTGGAGGTGAGACGCCTTCACAATGAACGTTGTATATTAGGTAGTTAGGCCCTGTTTCTTTTCCACGGTGCAACTCTCGTACCACCTGTTCAGAAACCAGGAGACTATCTTTTTTAACCATCCACCACGAGCAACGAGCCCTGGTACTCAACAATCATGACATTGTTAACCGCATTCACCAATCTCTTTGCCACTGAGCCGCATGATGATGCTAGATGACGACAAGCGAACTAGGCAAGTATAACTAATGCCAAATAAAAAAGAGATATGAATGCATGCCTTACAAAGAAATCAATGCTGTCATAGGTGGGAGACATCAGAGGGCGTCGATATGCGAAATAAGCAAAGCTAAGTACGGTAGTATTGATTTTCGATCATTGCCATATTCAATAGCTAAATCCAGCGAAAAATAGATCACATTGTTTAACATCAATGAAAAATCCATTACTGTACTTTAATGAGGAGGCATAGAACAAATAATATCATATCGATATCTCTGCCGAGAAGGAAATCACAATCTGTGAAACATGAGAAATCGGTATCTATTATGTCATACACCAAATAATATCACGTCAACAACGTAATACACATAATTATACAGCCGTTGAACTCTTGAGGTCATTCTTTTTCTTCTTCTTCTTCTTCTTCTTCTTCTTCTTCTTCTTCTTCTTCTTCTTCTTCTTCTTCTTCTTCTTCTTCTTCTTCTTCTTCTTCTTCTTCTTCTTTCTTTTTCTTCTTCTTCTTCTTCTTCTTCTTCTTCTTCTTCTTCTTCTTCTTCTTCTTCTTCTTCTTCTTCTTCTTCTTCTTCTTCTTCTTCTTCTTCTTCTTCTTCTTCTTCTTCTTCTTCTTCTTCTTCTTCTTCTTCTTCTTCTTCTTCTTCTTCTTCTTCTTCCTCGCCTTCTTCTTCTGCTTCTTCTTTCTTGTTTCTTATAACTTTTTACTCTACTTCATTGTCTTTTTTGGTGTCTTTATTTTCTTCTACGTCTTCTTATTCTTTCTCTTCGGCATCTTCTTTGTTATCTTCCTCATCATCTTCGTCATCTTCTCTCTGCTCCTTCTTTTTTGTTTTCATCTTTGTCTTCTCTTTTTATTATCGTTTTCTTCTTCCTAGGTTTCCCCAACCTCTGTCTTTGCTGCTGTCGCAGGTGCTGCTGCTGAGTATAATAGTCAGGCATACATAGGTTATAGCAGACGTAGAGACTCTATAACCAAACATACAGACTGCATAACCAACAAATCAGACACCATAACCTAACATACAGACTCTACAACCAACCATACAGACTCCATAACCAAACATACAGACTCTACTACCAGACATACAGACTCCATAACCAAACATACAGACTACATAACCAAACATACAGACTCCATAACCAAACATACATACTACATAACCAAACATACAGACTCCATAACCAAACATACAGACTCTATAACCAAACACACGGACTCTATAACCAAACATACGGACTCCATAACCAAACATACGGACTCCATAACCAAACATACAGACTACATAACCAACCATACAGACTCCATAACCAAACATACAGACTCCATAACCAACCAATCAGACTCCATAACCAAACATACAGACTCTACAACCAGACATACAGACTCCATAACCAAACATACAGACTACATAACCAAACATACAGACTCCATAACCAAACATACAGACTACATAACCAAACATACAGACTCCATAACCAAACATACAGACTCTATAACCAAACACACGGACTCTATAACCAAACATACGGACTCCATAACCAAACATACGGACTCCATAACCAAACATACAGGCTACATAACCAACCATACAGACTCCATAACCAAACATACAGACTCCATAACCAACCAATTAGACTCCATAACCAAACATACAGACTACATAACCAAACATACAGACTCCATAACCAACCATACAGACTACATAACCAAACATACAGACTCCATAACCAAACATACAGACTCCATAACCAAACATACAGACTCCATAACCAAACATACGGACTCCATAACCAACCATACAGACTCCATAACCAACCATACAGACTCCATAACCAAACATACGGACTCCATAACCAAACATACAGTCTACATAACCAACCATACGGACTCCATAACCAAACATACGGACTCCATAACCAAACATACAGACTACATAACCAACCATACAGACTCCATAACCAAACATACAGACTCCATAACCAACCAATCAGACTCCATAACCAAACATACAGACTCTACAACCAGACATACAGACTCCATAACCAAACATACAGACTACATAACCAAACATACAGACTCCATAACCAAACATACAGACTACATAACCAAACATACAGACTCCATAACCAAACATACAGACTCTATAACCAAACACACGGACTCTATAACCAAACATACGGACTCCATAACCAAACATACGGACTCCATAACCAAACATACAGGCTACATAACCAACCATACAGACTCCATAACCAAACATACAGACTCCATAACCAACCAATTAGACTCCATAACCAAACATACAGACTACATAACCAAACATACAGACTCCATAACCAACCATACAGACTACATAACCAAACATACAGACTCCATAACCAAACATACAGACTCCATAACCAAACATACAGACTCCATAACCAAACATACGGACTCCATAACCAACCATACAGACTCCATAACCAACCATACAGACTCCATAACCAAACATACGGACTCCATAACCAAACATACAGTCTACATAACCAACCATACAGACTCCATAACCAAACATACGGACTCCATAACCTAACATACGGACTCCATAACCAAACATACAGACTCCATAACCAAACATACGGACTCCATAACCAAACATACAGACTCCATAACCAACCAATTAGACTCCATAACCAAACATACAGACTACATAACCAAACATACAGACTCCATAACCAACCATACAGACTACATAACCAAACATGCAGACTCCATAACCAAACATACAGACTCCATAACCAAACATACAGACTCCATAACCAAACATACAGACTCCATAACCAACCATACAGACTCCATAACCAACCATACAGACTCCATAACCAAACATACGGACTCCATAACCAACCATACAGACTCCATAACCAAACATGCAGACTCCATAACCAACCATACAGACTCCATAACCAAACATGCAGACTCCATAACCAAACATACAGACTCCATAACCAAACATACAGACTCCATAACCAAACATACGGACTCCATAACCAACCACACAGACTCCATAACCAAACATACGGACTCCATAACCAACCATACAGACTCCATAACCAACCATACAGACTCCATAACCAAACATACAGACTCCATAACCAAACATACAGACTTCATATCCAGAGAACAATTTACCCTGGATCCCTTGCCCATGTCCTTTCGTAGAACAAACACTAAATCTTCTGTGGATAAAATCACTTTGTTTGGTCCTCTGGTCATTTCCTTGGCCAGCCAGTTCCGTCTGAAACGAACATAATTATAATAATAATAATAATAATAATAATAATAATAATAATAATAATAATAATAATAATAATAGCAAAGCAAAACAAAGCAGCTTTTTTCCTCTTTCAAACGTATTAGGCATATACAGCTAGGCCTATATTTCATAGAACCCTCGGCACTTAGTGGGCGATGTAGTCAGCATCACGCCGGCCGCCTCTGCTTCCCAGGATTGTACCTGGTACCTTTTTAATGCTGCGTCGACTTTGGAGCTAAGGTCATTTCTGAAAAAAAGTCCGGCTCTGTCAGGATCCGAACCCACGAGCTTAAATTCCGCGAGCGAGGGTCTAGCCGCTAAACCAAGGAGGCTCCCTCCCCCCTTCCCCTTTCCCTCACCCACCTAACTGTTATTTTACGAAAGAAAAGAAACTCCGGTACACGTCTCCCCACGCCCCGCCCATATACACACTAGTTCACTTTTGACTGGTAGTTCGTAAACTTGTCACCATTACATAAGGATACGAGGGTGTTCCGCAATGTCGTTGATATCGCGTGTTGTAAATTTCAGAACGCCAGCGCTTTTAACACTAAAAAAAACAAAAAAACATGGAGAAACTGGCCATATACAACTTCCCTATAGAGTGCTTTAACCTATGTTACTATCATTCTCTTTCTCGGAATGAAAACGCAAATGCAAGACAATACAAAAAAGCAAACAATAGTGCTGGACACACCCGTAGCCTTCAGGAAAGTCGATCAGCCCAATAAACTTGTGAATCGTCTTCTTCTTCTTCTTCTGCGTTCGACATCAGTCATGCTAAACATTGAGTCCCGTCTGGGTCACAAATAGGATTGTGCGTTTAAGGTCGCCACCGGTCCCCCATAGCTTCTCTTGCAATGTGACTTCCTTGGGCCAGATCCACAGTCTTTGCTGGGAGAGGTTAGGGCAGTAGTATGTGCCCAGGGGTCTGTCTTTCTGCTCCACCATCACAGGCAGCAGATTCTTTTATGCCTATCCTGTACAGGTGTGCTCGAAGACCACAGTGTCCTGTCCAAAGTCTAAAAACTTATGTTTGTTCTTTCCTGTTGAGTTTGTTTATGCTGTCACTCTCTGGTCTGTAATCTCCGTTCTGCCTCCACTCCCGCTTGAAAGACTGCTTTAGCGCTGTTTTGGTTTCCTTGTAGCTGTGGTGGATGAGGTTGTGGAAGATTACTCCCAGCTTTTGCCAACTCATCTGCTCTCTCATTTCCTTGAATACCACAGTGGGCTGGTATCCACTGCAAGACCAGTTCTGCTTCCTTGGAGAGTAAGCCAATGTTGGTCCTTAGATCTGCAATTAGTTTGTCTTATTTTTTTCTTGATAGTGCTTGGAGAACAGACAATGAGTCACTTAGTATAACAATTTTGTGCCCTTTGTGTTCTTGAGTGATGAGATGTTGGACTGCAGAAAGGAGGGCAGTTGCCTCAGCTTTGAAGTTAGTGCAGATGTCACCTGCCGGTAGAGAGAGAGAGAGAGAGAGAGAGAGAGAGAGAGAGAGAGAGAGAGAGAGAGAGAGAGAGAGAGAGAGAGAGAGAGAGAGAGAGAGAGAGAGAGAGAGAGAGAGAGAGAGAGAGAGAGTTTCTGCTCTACTGCTAAGGGGTTTAATGTATATTCCACAGCCCACCTTTCTGACTGCATATGTAGCAGAGCTGTCGGTGAAAACCTGGGTCCAAGTGGTGTTGGGATACTTCTCATTAAGCATAGCAAGAGCCAGGGTTCTCTGTTGTGTCTCCGTCTGGGCATCTTTTGAAGTGATCCCTGGTATCTTTAGGATTACATTTGACTTCTCTGGCTTGCTTGTCCATGGTTCTGGATTAAGATTTTCGCGAAGTGAAACATCTCTTCCAAGCAGATCTTGGTGCTGTTTGTACAGTTCTCTAGCAAAGTGGTTGGAGCTCTGACGCTTCAGTCTGTTTTTTGTTTTCTCTTTTGAAATTTAAAATGCAATGGGTGACTTTGAATTTTTTATTTTTATTTCTAATACTGTAAAAGAGTTTTGTATTGTCTTCTGAGTTCGAATGGTTCAGTATCTGCTATCCTCTCTATTTCTCTGATGGGGGTGGTTTTCATGGCTCCGAGAACAACCCTAATCCTGTATTCTGAACCTTGTCCAGTTTTCCCATTGTTGTCTTGGGTGCAGCAGCCCATGCAGTGGAGGCATATTCCATGACTGGCCTGACTGCCCCATTATATACTTGACTTGTGAATCAAAAGTGACCTACTTTGGGGAGATTTACGTGAACCTAACCGTAACTGCTTGTCCATGTCCTTCAATTTAAATACTTGAAAGTGAAAAAAAAAAAAAGGGGGGGGGGGGGGGACACAACATCTCTCACTCTGTGTAACGTAGATTAAGAACAAAAGAGACCCCGAAAAGGCCGTTTTTCTGATAACAAAAAAATATTTTACGTAATTAAGTACGTAGAAAAAGAGTCCTGAAATGTTAAGTTAAACCTATTATGCCGTATGGCAGCGAATCTTAAAATATCAGTGAACAAACTG